GGCCAGAGCCCAGAGATGAGAAGAAGCAAGTGATGCTTGTGCAGCCTCGAGTTTGTACCACACATCGTTCTGAGCACTTTCTTATATCAAGGCTTTTCATCTTACACGATAATCTTGGGGTAATCCTCATTTTACAAAGGAGGAGATGGAGGTACAGAAAGGCAAAGTAGCTCACTGAGTGTCATCCAGCTGGGAAGAGGCACCACAGGGATATGCAGGCAGCCTGGCTCCAGAGTCCCTGCTCTTCACTAGCCTGCTCTGAAGAATCCCTGTGATACCGCTCCTGGGAGTACCATTCACACGAATTGCAGTGCATGGGGGCCCTCGGAGCTGGGCGATGTAGGTGGCCCTGATTCCACACTACTCCCTTTAAAAAAAGACTGATTTTTCACTCTGCCTTATGATGTGCCAGGCACTTTCTGTGTACCTTTTATACATTCACTCATGAAGTCCAGAACTCTTTTTACCTCCATTACAGATGAGGCACAGAGAGACGTAAGGATACACCTGCCTAGGTAGTTATAACGGTCTAAATTCAAACTTGGAGGACTACTAAAAGGGCAGTCAGTTTGTAGAGTTTTGTTTTGTTTTGTTTTGTTTTGACTCTTTTGTCTTCCCTGCCGGTACCACCTGTCTGAAGCACGTCAGGGGGGAAACAGGGGTTACAATATTAACGTGCAAAATGCCATATATGTTTCTAGAGGGAAACAAGTGTATCTGTGCTTGCAGAAGAGGGAGAAAATCATCTAGTACACTTGGCCACTTAGAAAAACTTAAAAACAAAGAGCAAAATAATCCCCAAGGTTAAATTGGCAGGCAGAGACCTTGGGCTTGTGTTCTAGTCCATAGAGCCAATGAGAGTCCAAACACTGTTCTTTTGTCTCTTCCCTGACCTCTCAGAGTCCTGCTGCAGAACACATAACCCCACTGGCTTGGAAAGCTAAATTCTGGAGAAATCTGTGGGGGGAAATTAGATGGCAAAATTTCCTTTTGTTTCCAAATCTGTACCAATTGTCTTGATGACAGCTATGTAAAACTCAGAGCTAATCAGCTGATTCTTGGCTTTTCTCTCCCTATTCCCCTCCCTTTCCAAACAAATGGAAAAGAGAAATGTTTGTCCTTTGTATTCCACCGTCAAATCCATGGGTGTGCCGTACCACAAAGCCCAGCCCAGGTAAGGAAAAGCAACTCCATGTCCCTAAGTTTGAAGCCAACAAAAACTAGCTGAATGTTGCCTTGAGCTGCAGAAGAGAGCTTCCCTGATTTGTTGAGGACCACACCATTCCCTCCACTGAACTGAGCTCAGTTGAGACATTTGTCAAATTGCAAGAATAACTTCTATACGGAGAATCACGTGGAATTTAGAAAATAGAATCACACAAACAATGCCTTTTCATAAGGTCTTTTGACTTTGAACTGTTGATCATGGTGAGAGATGACTTGAAAGGAAACACAGTCAGCAGGTCACCCTCAAAATGGGAAGATGCCTTTGGGGGCTGTGTAGTTTTGGAGGCTACTCAGGGGTGAGAGGTGGGCAGGTTATGGGGAAACACTGATGCAAGGTGACCCAGGAGCTTTTCAGACTGATCCTCATTGTAGCTGGAAATAGAAGTAGACCAGGGGAGGGTTGGTTTCTCTTTCATCCTCTCAATCAATCACTTAACTGGAGAACTCTTCAAACCAAAACCAAGACGGTGTCAATCCCTCACTTGATGTTCGCCTCTTGCTGCAGTGAAATATGACACCCTTGAAATTTGGCCCTCAGAACTTAGACCTGATAGGATATCAAGGCCCTTTCACCAAAAGCTAGGGACTTGAGGTGATCTGAAACAGGCCCAGGAAGCTCCCAGGGACCTCTCGTTACTTCTCAGCCAGCTCTCAGTTCAGAGAATCTTGGGACAGGAATGCTCAGTTCCAAGAGCCTCTTGGAGTTCGAGTTCACTTTTGTGGGAACTTCTCAGAGTTCCTTTGGGGAAGTCCAGACTGAGTCTCTCACTGGCTGCCTCTGGAACTCTGGGATCAGCCTGAGCATTGGGTGACCTGTACGTGCAATGCTTATTCTATGGAGATCCAAACACTAGGGGCAGACTCCCCAATCTATTAATTGATTTTCAGTTGTCAACTTGTGGGTGGGTGACCAAATAGCTTGTGATTAGACAGTTTTTAGAATGAAAGGAGTGGGAAGAATAGGGGTTTTCCCATCAAAGTGACCCCCCCCCTTTTCATTTTACCAAATTCCTCCTGGGAATACACCCACTGCTCCTCATTCCTTATCTTGAAAACCCCCTCAAGAAGGAGCGGGGAAGGAACACTTAAGTATAGAAAATTACGGCTTTGAATACATCAGTTTAACCTTTCTGGGTATTAAAATGAGGGCTGGATTAGGGGACCTCTGGGGTTCTCCCACCTCTAACAATTTGCTCAGCATTTTTCTAACCTGGGGAGCAGGCAGAGCCAGGCTGCCCCTGCTTTACGTCTGTTCTTAGTCCTTGAGGGGTTTGGGTGTAGGGTTGCTGGAAGTAACCACAAGCTACTTTGCTTGATCCAATGCTCCCTCCTGACCGCCGATCCTGAGTTATCTTCCTTACTGCCTACATTTGTATATCACAAAACGAGCCCCTGCTCTTTAAAGACTTTCTTTAGACCCTTACATTGGCTGTTGGGAAATGCAGGAGAGGAATTGAGCCATGTACAGTTTTCCCAGTAGGGGGAAGTTTCTCTCATCTTGTTGGTGAATTATGGAAGTGAATGGCTTCTTCCCACCCCTGCCCCCCAAATTTAGATTCCCGTTTAAAGATATTCAGGACATATCTATACTCTCAGTTGAAACAGTAAAATAAGGAAATGATCTGGAAAATCTAAGGAGAAAAAAGACCCTCTTGCCTTGATTTTCTGTTGATTCTGCCTAAAATATCACAAGGCTATAGTTAGAGAGTTAATTAAAATAACAGAATCTGATACAGGAATTTGAGCTTAGAAATCTTTTGGCCCAGTCCTCTTGCTTGATGGAGGGGAGAGCTGAGGTTAGCCTGGGAAATGACTTGCTCCAGGACACACAGTCGTCAACAGGTTGGGCTGGCACTGGGTCTCTTTCTATGAAATCCTGCCAACTGTACCCATCCTCTTCTGCCATCCTCCTGGTGGCACAGATGACCTCCTGTATGAACCCTACCATTTTCAGGTTCTGAAGACAGGTGAGTCCCTTTGGCATCTTTTATATTTGAAAGGATTGATGCTGTTCCCAAAGTGTGCAGCTGTGATTGGAAGACCTTAGTGGGTCAGTGCAGACCTGGAAGAACTGTGCTCGGCTCAGCAGTTGTAGCTCTCGTGTTGCTCTTTGTGACTCAGATTTGTTCCTTTAAGAGTTAAGCTTTTCAGAGATACTGGCTTTTCAGAGATACGGGCCTCATTTCCTGGGTCCAGGGCCAGACCGTTACTCCTGTGCTGAGTTCCCATGAACTGCAGCCAATGCCTTCCAGCTGATGAAGCAGGGTTGTCATTGGTAAGTGTTTATGTTGCGCTTTAGATTTGCAAAGTCCTTTCTCTGGGTTATTTCTTACCTCAATTTGGCAGGTGAGGAAACTGAAGCCCATAGAAGTGGTGACTGGTCCAGAGTCATCCGACCAATTAGTGGGGAAGCTGGGCTCAGCCTCTGAGTTTCTGGGTCATTGTTTTACCCCTGTGAGTCATGCAGCTTCTCTAGATTATGTTCGTTGCTCCTCACCAACTTCTTTTTTTTCAAAATTTAGCTGGCTTCTTTTACAGTGAGCTATAAAGCTCTTCTGTTTCAAAGCTGCAGTACCTTATTGGTTGACCAGGAAGCTGCAAGTATCTAGGTATGCTCCAGTGTGGGACCTGTCCTAGGTGAAACTGAGCTGTGGTGTCATGGGAACTGGGAAGGCAGTGGGACTTTTCTGACTGGGTTTTTGGAAAAAGATCAATATTGCTTTAGGAATATTAAAGATCTAAGCGCTGGGGAAAAGGGGATTTAAGCTAAAACGTTGGCTGTCGCTTAAAGGCGATTAAAAACAAATCAAGCTAAAAAGATAATGGACAATTTTGCATCTACATAAAGGCTTTTGAGAGTTTTTGGCTTCGTTTTCAAACTTCACTAGTTGGGTCACAGAGGTACCTTCTTGTCAGTGAGGCAGAGAGATTTCGGTGAGAATATTGAAAACTTTCACAGTAGAAATTCTTTTTTTTTTTTTTGCGGTGCGCGGGCCTCTCACTGTTGCGGCCTCTCCCGTTGCGGAGCACAGGCTCCGGACGCGCAGGCCCAGCGGCCATGGCTCAGGGGCCCAGCCGCTCTGCAGCATGTGGGATCCTC